ACTGCTGCTGGTGGCTTACACGATGCATCCAACAGAGAGCCGGGTGGAAGGGGACTTGTGACCTGGTGATGCACTGTAGAGCCAGCTGCCTGCGTTCTGGGCTGATGATGATGCTGTCCCCCCCGCTTGGTTTCTTTTGCATGTTTGCTTTTCCCAATCGTTCACGGCCTGATGCTAGACGAGATGCTGTGATCGGCGAATCAAGGCCTGCCACATCCTTATGTGACTGTGCTATGCCGACGGCCTGACCTGCATGGGCGCCTCGACGTCATTGGTGAGAACCGCCCTGCCTTGCCTCGCCCGCCTCACCCGTTGCCCTTAACTCCGACATGTTTGTTTTGTCATCCCAATCCACAGAACAGCCCTCTCTTGCTTTCTTTTCAAGGTACTTCCTTGATTTCTGCAGTGGGAACCCGATGGAGGGCCCAGTGCGATGGCGTCTTCGCGGGTACCTCGCAGTCAGATACGCTAAACGTCCCGCCGGTTTTCTTAGCGATTGAGTAGTGGATTGGAATGGTGTGTGACTCCTACATAGTACTGTAGGCAGTGAGGTATCCGATGATGCTCCGGTGCTAGCAAAATTTGCGATTGCTGACTGGCCAGTGGAGGTGTGACCCGCCTATGACCTGTACTCAGCCAGTGACACTGTGGCGCTTTTCATCTCAGCTCCAGCTTCGGGCCTCTCTGCCTGCCGGAAGGGTGCCGCTGGCAGGTCTGATGCCCAAGAGGCACATTCGTGGGCACGGGCTTCGATCGGATTCATGCTTCCACCCGCCGTCCAGCGTGGTTTGCCACTGGGAGCACCGAGAAGGCAAAAAAAGAAAAGAACAGTACGCGAAAAAAAAATCCATCTCAAACTGAAGCTCATTGTCAAAAGATGGGGGAAATCGGTATGAGGATCTGCAAGCCCGATGCGGCTATGCTTTTTTCACGCCCCTGAATCTCTCCGAGTGAGAGCATCAGTGCGAAAAGAAGACCTTCCCCCCCTTTGGCATCTGAGATCACACACCGATCGTCAGGTACCCAGAGCTGGGATGGTAAGGTTACCGTTCCTTGTGAACGTGGCTCTGCCCCCTCCGTTTGATGGGCCGTCCTCCACATGGCCTTGTCGCAGCTGTAGTACCATAGGGCATGAAGGAGGAAGTGGATGAAAGCAAACCTGAATTCTCTGGTAACACACCCCAATGGCACATTGCTTTTTCCCACAATTGGAAAAAATTTCTCTCGTTAAAAAGTGCTTTTTTGTGTGTGTCGTCTGTGATGAGAAACCCCCCCACCACACCTCATTATGTGAACAGAAGCAGCCGAATGGCACAGCTGCTGACCGGTCGCCGTAAATCACCCTATTCATATGCGACCCTACCTCGAGCTGAGTGCAATGACCTTCCGACCGAGGCTTATCACCGTTGCGGATCGAGGGGGCAGATTGCATTCATCGAAGAGGCTGGATCATGGTCATCCTGGGGGGAAACGTACTACTGCAAGGGGAGAGGACAGAAGCCGTGTCCCGCGGATAGCTGCCGCTGCTCCCAGGCCCATGTTCACTCCCCTGTACCCAGGCCAATAGCACCGGACCAGGTAATCTCGCCAGGTGATGGCCGAATGAGGGCTCCGTACGTGGTATATTATCTCCAGGCTTGACGTTAACAAGCCAAATTTCAGGGCCGGGGAAACCGTTGGGGCCATGGCAATTGGACCAGACGTTTCCCAGCAGGGAGCTCCCACCACTGGAGGCTGGAGTCAGCTGCCCTGTGCGCGCTGAACGCTATGGCAGCAGCTGAGCTGCGAGCGTGGGAAAACATGGGAACTGTGCGCTCAACACAGTGGCCAAGGGTCATCCTTGGACTCCGTTGCGGCCTTTCCCCGAGGTACCTCTGCAATGAGCGCTGCGGTGGTTGGCTCGGAGGCAGAGCATTAGGCTATGGTGACCAGTTCGAGCCAAGTGCAATTCTTCGAAGCTCGTCCGTCAGATAGGTGCTCCCCCGGGTCGGAAGAGCTCCCCAATTCTGCAAGGAACCTAAAATGGGCTCCGAGAGACAAAGTGTGCACGCAAGTTCTGTTCAAAATGAGGAGACGGCATAAGATGGCGCAGGAGACTTGTCACATTTTCCATATTGACGAGGCGTCATCCTTTCGCGCCGGCACAGAGGGACGGAGGGTGTGGTGCAAAAGCAGGTACAGGCTAGAACAGTGGGAAGGGCCCTGGTGCTGACTTCTAGCGTGGCATCCAGACACGCCATTGGCTGGCTTCGGGGCACCAGCCCGAAGTCGCAGTGCTTGTCCCGACCAAGCTCATCACCCGTAGTCAGTTGGTGTGGTGGGCAAACTTCCGATCGGTATCTGTCACTCTGCCCTGACAGGTGGAGCGAAGCCAGATATTATGCATGGCTAGTCGCTTCAGCACGCACAGCCTGGCGATGCCATGCGATTGAAAGACGCTGTGGCGGCCGAGGGGGTGAGGTGTACGGGATGCACTCCAGACCGATGGTTCGCATGACGATCCAGAGGTCTCGCCATTTCGCATTGACATCGACAGCGAGGGCTGGAGGCGAAAGACTCGAGGCAAGGCAAGGCCAGGCCCAGCGAGATCCATCCCGGCGGGGGCCCAGGCTGGCCATTACTCGTCAGCCTGCCTTGGCCCCCAGCAACATTAACATGGAGGGTGGGATGGGCAGCTACGGAAGCGCGAGCCCAAGGCCCAGCCCCACGGCACGGGTTCGATTCGATGGTGACAGGGAGCAGGCATGGAACAGAGTTTTTGCCTGCACGCACGCGAGGCAGTTGTGCGCGTAGCATTATACAGCTGGCATTCATAGGGGCTGCAATGCAGGACCAGCAAAGCTGTCAGGTGCATGTCATTGAATGCAATACTTGTCTCTGCGACGGCAGCATCGACCTGAAGCGTCGCAACGGCCTCTGCCCAGCCAACACCCCAAACGTGTTTATCGTCTTGTAATGAGCCTAATGGAGGGTATGAGCGGGCAGCATAGGGAAACACAACCATCTAGAAGCAGTAAGCACCTGTTGCACAATGCCACACGGATAAACAAACAAACACCAGCGCCGACCAGCAACCGATTCACAAGACAACGGGCGGTAGTTTGTGCCTGTGGTGGATGTTTATGCTTCTTCTAGCTAGATGCCTGTTAGTGCTTTGTCTTGCCAATGGACAATGGCACATCATGCGGGGCGCGCTGTTCCGCCCTGTGCTGCAAGCCTTTCAAGTGCCTGCTGAGAATGAGCCTGGCCTCGGGGATGGACAATGGGCCTAGGAGAAACGAGAAACGGCACTACCAGCAGCTTACAAGGGCGGCAACGCACTGCTGAACTCTAAAAAAGACAGCGCGGGTCACATCATACCCTCCTAGTCTCACCGGCTGGCCTTTTGGGCCGGCTGAGGTGCAAGATGAAAGGTTGTACCTTACAGCATGCCATGGAACTTAGAGGGTGGCAGTCGACGCGTTTGATTTGATTCTTTTGGGGATCTGCAACGACAGGACGCGACCTGGCTGGGTAAATCCCTGTCTGAAGTGTTGAGTTAGCATCGTAGCAACCCAGAGAGGCCAATTGCACGGATAGAATTCAATACTGCGTGTGAAGCAGCCAGGGTCGGGAGCTGCTTTACTATGTACATCATTGGGTGATAGGTTCCCCACGCCTTTGTGCATGAGGTAGGTCGAGGACACAACGCGCACAAGCGAATTGGGCGAGCGAATTATGCATGGGACAGTAGTTGTGTATCGATGTGCACAGCAGTCCTGCTAGCTCGTTTTACTGCTACCTTGCCCCATGCATCCCGACGATGGAATCTCGATGATTCATGAATTGACCCGCTCCTCCGGGACATGAGAGACGATCGCTGTCAAATGCCATGTAAAATTGACCGTTTACAGTTAAAGAGAAGCCCATCGCGAACATCCGCGAAACCCACCCGAATTTCTTTGCACGGGCCAATGGCACTATCTCAATGGGAATAGGGAAAAATGGATCTCGAAGCAGTCGCGATTGGTGGGTGTGGTGCTATATGGTAGCAAATGCTCGTGTATGTATGTCATAGCCAGGCCCGATGTATTAAGGATGCCACATCGAAAGAAGAAAGCAAGCCAAGGCGATTCTCCATTCCCCAAGATCTCTTGTCCCTCTCGGTCCTTTTCCACACCTCAGACGAGTTATTCGTAGCGGTGCGGGTGGACGCGGAACGGTATCTGGCCTTGATGCAGGCCACCACAGGTTGAGCAAGATATCAGTGACTGGGGGGACAATAATACATCACCCAATTCGTCCTGGCAGGTGGCGCAAGATGCGAACGAGGAGGAGGAGGGGGTAGCACGAGCGAGCTCTGTAAATCCTGCTGGCCTAGACTGCTTCTATTCTGGAGGACGGGGAAAAATCGAGGGACTTCTGGGGCGGCGAGCAGACAAGGTGCGAGGTGATGCGGAGCCAGCTGAGACTGTTGGCCATGCAGTTTCCAATGCAAGTCAGGACTTTATTCATGTTGGCTTCCGAACTGCATTGCTAACAACGCATTACCGTTGGGAAAGCCATGTGTGTTTCTGCGTTACATTACCGTGCCTCGCCCGCATCGGTCCTATGGGGAATGGGATGGGTCGGGTCTCTCCATTCTTGTTTTTGGCATCCGGTGCCTCTGACTAGATGATACTTTTTGGGAGTGTGGGCAGATGAGACCATTCTTAGCAACATCGTCAGGTGCTAACGATCCATTGGCATGTTCCACCGAGAAGATCGCGGGTCATACCAATGCATTCATATCCTGATCTTTTGCCAGCGAAGAGAATGCCGAGGGACGGCCCTGCGCACATCGGCCTGCATTTCAGACGTGGCTGGCAGCCTGGTCGTGCAAAGCAAAAAGCGAGCGACGAGGGAGAGACTGATCAGATTTGGGGCCTGGGGCCGCATTTCAGCTCCGCTGCAGGTGCAACGGAGGCCATTTCTACTGGCTGCGAGAGGGCACCCGACTGTTCGCTACGTGATGGCTAGCATCACTTCACAAAAGCAACCTCGAGATATCCCAGCACTTTCCACTCGCTGCACATGTGGCCAGGCTTAGTACAGAGCAGTGGCCTGGTTACCCTTGTATCTGCTCGGGCAAAGTATCCGCCGTGGTACGTACCCTCGAATACGGCGGTCTCTGCCTGGCTGTTGGCTTGGGAAGCATCCTCTTGGGGGACCCCTGCGACCTGCAAAGGCTAAAATACCAGGTCGCACTGTGAATGGTGGGATCGAGAAAGTGTGGGTGGGACTCTCTCTGATTCTTCTCTCTTCTTTGGCAGTCTTTCCGCGGGGTGGGACTCGGAACGGGAGCCTGCCTCCGGGTTGGGCGAGAAGGCTGGGCTAGAACTGTAGCGGTGCCTACAACGTAAGAAAGTATTTTGAGAGCCCGTCAGGTGGAGGAATACGACCCAGAGGGCTTACTGGGTACTTACGTACACGGTGAGCTGTTGTAAACCACCAGTGGGTGGGAGGTGTGCAACAGCCGGTGGCTCGACCTCTGGTCCATGTAGGTCGGCTGGCTGGAATTATAAACATGGAGGTCGAGAATCGCACGCCAATTGGGGCCGCCATGTCTTCTCCGCCATCTGCCCTTTCCAATTGTCTCATCATCGGCTAGGGATGATATTTCTTTTGCTAGACTGACTCAACGGCCTCTGTATCTGCTTGACTCAGCGGGGTCTAGCCTAGAACCACGACTCTCACTGAAGCTAGCCGTTCCAGGCATTGCCGTTCGGGGTGGCTCAAACGGCTTGTTCCTTTTCTCGCTCTTACGCCGCCAACGCACACACTCCCAGAGGCCCGAAGCGACCGACGTGAGAACACCCACCCAGCCCAGCCATTGGCACCAGCCCAGCAGATCAGCACCGACAGGCCTGGCTGCCATCCGCGACGCGATTGTGGCATTTTTCGTCCCAACCCTTCATTTCTGACGATTGCCGGCCATTCACCGTTTCTCACACGTCACGTACAGATTCCAGTCACCGACTTTACTTGCTGGACGCACGAGACCAGACCCTCGCTGGGCCAGAACCCAGCCAGCCTGTATGTGATTGGCGTTGACCAGCATCAACAAACAACACACCCCAGGCCCCTACCAACCTACGGTACGCACCTGCGCCCAACCGCACAACACGTGGACGGACAACACCATCTCTCCTCCTAGGTATCCAGCACAGCACATGTAAATGTCGATGCCGACCGCATTGAATAATAAATCTTGATCATTACCGCGGATACTCGCCTCCATTGCATCTCATCAATTGTGTCCTCGGACTAAAGTCGTCATCGGTCATCATCTTTAACACCACACCACCAAACCCACAATACTGCGAAGGCCTCAGCCACCTGTGGCAGTTCACAGTTCGCGCGCAACACTGAGTTCACTTGATCCGCGCAAACGGATACTCCGCGCCCAGGTTTTTCTTGCCTCCCAAATTTACCTGACTCTCCGCCTGGTCAGTCCAGTCGCAGAATCCAGCCCAGACATCAGCAGCAGTCGGTCTGCTCGCCGCCATCGCTCTTGGGTCCAACAGCCTAGGAATGGCCGGGGACCCGGTCCGCGCGTGCTAAATTCATCAGTCAACGCCAGCCAGACAACTGGAACCGAGACAACCTGGAAGAGGAGCTGGCCCATCCTGGACTCTAGCCACCGCATGGTTTTTTTAGGTGGGCATTGACGACCCCACATCGACATTGTACTTTCCTCCCCCACCCCCCGGTCACCAACTTTTCCATCCCTGCCCTGTCGGTACCTCTGTACCATCCCGGTGCACCAACTCGAGTTGGGGCGAAGCCAAAGCGCACTTGTGGGCATCGCATCCTACCTTAGCTCCCGGGCCACACGGCCGATCGCTACTACTTCTTTTGGTCCTGCCCAGGTGCTTTTTCCTTTCCAGCACCACACACATCTCTCGCCTCTACTCGCCTGCACACTGCACACCGATCAAGCACAATACTGCTTGCTTTCGACTGCTCCCGAAGCAGCACTGTGCTCGATAGCCAGTTGCCCGTCATGTCGTCGAACTTGAAGCCGTTGCTGCTGCCGCAGCTGGTGGAGGAGCGCAAGAAGCTCGAGGTCCACCACCACACGTGCTCGGAAGAAGAGCTGGCCTACACCTACCACACGACCAATTCTTCTTCCTCAGATATCGCGACGCCTCTCACGCCTACCTTTTCTTCAAGGGGACACTACCGCACCTCCAGCTCAACCTCATCCATCGACCTGGCCTACCTGCAATGCCTCGAGAGCCCTGCATCGCCGGTACCATCACAAGCACCAAAGCAGTCTGGTGCACGACCACTGCCCGATGTGAAGGAGGAGCCATTCGAGAGAGAGGACGTCATGGGTGATTTCAATGACAGCTTTGGATTATACAGCTGTCTCTGTAAGAAATACCACATTATGGTGCCCGTGCAAGTAAGACTAACAGTGTCAACAGGCGACGAACCATGCGAACACCGCAGCAGCTCTGAACACACCTTTCCTGGCGACATTGTCACTGACTACGAGTTCGATCACGATTGGGACTGCCTCAGTGACGGTGCTTTATCAGTAAACCTATCGAGTAATTCAAAGAACCGAAGTGGCACTGAGCTGCCCTTTATCGGACTTACATCTCGTCTCAGCTCCAAGTTGCAGTCGCCGAATCGGTGGACACTGAACAAGAGAGGGACGCTGCGATCAGCTGCCACGACTGAGATCAGTCTTGAGACTGCCCTGTCAAGAGCGACGTCGAGTCGATCTTCTTCGATTTCTTCTCCCCGCCCCCAAATGTCGGATCGTCTCCAAGACTTGCCCAAGCTGACGACTTATCCTGGATCTTGCTACGAGAGCCGAGAGAGCCTCGTTAGCGAGTCTGCCCGATACGAAGAGGAGGAAGACGAGGAGCTGGACCAACGGCTTACGCTTGAGCGTGATCGCGCAAAGGCGACGACCCCCCTCCTCCCACCATTACTCAACGGACCCTTCGCATCTCCCCCTAAGGAATCCCCTCTACAATCACCTACAATTGCTCCTTCAACCTTCTCACCTGAAATTCACTCCCCACCCCCATGCACCACCAACTTCTCACGACCCTCGCTCAGCGCGAAGCCTTCAGTCACATCTTTGCGACATCTCCCAGTCGAGGCACCTGCTACTCTACCTGCCCTCTTGCAGGAGTATGATGAGTGGTCAGACAGATTGGGTCACGCAAACTTTACCATTAACCCCAAGCCTTATGAGCTGGAGCTTGTGGATAGCGATACCTTGACGCAATTCCGCAAGGATTGGGACGCTGCCCGAGTCAACTACACAAAACACATCGTTCGCACCGGTGAGAACTACGGGGAGACGAGCACTATTTACGGCCTTACAGAGCGCAAATGGGCCGAGGTCGAGTCGCAATGGCGGACGACTTACGAGGCTGCCATGAAGCAGTTCATGGGACCAGCCCCAGGACACCGCGCGAACCGGTCCTCAACCTCTGCTAGGAGCCGAAGCCGGGGCCGAACAAGGGGAAGAGGCCGCTCTGACAGCGCAGGAGCTGTCCTCTGGGGCCGTCCTGCTCAGGATGACCTTTTCGCAGAGGCTGAGTGGCGCCGCGTCGAGGACGGCCTTTCCAGCGCCATTCCGCATATGATGGATGGCGATGGCAAGTTCCCTGCACGAGGTGACGAAGACATTGTGGGCCCCATGCACCGCGCCGAGCCCATGTCTCGCGCGCACAGCGAAGAAAAATACGGCGCCAGATTCTGGAAGAACCTGGCTGGAAGGGTCGGCCTGCGCAAGTAAAGCCCGCCCTCCAACATTACTATCATACTTGATGAACAAATCACTCTCTACGCGAAACGACGAATGTTGAATAGACGAACTGGATACCATTACAGCTTACGGACTACGGATACTATTTTCTTGTTACATATTTGGAATTGGATTGCTTGTACATAGAAGCAGCGGCGTTGGGATAGAAAGCCGACAGGGCTCGGGAACAAAAAGTGTTGTATCAATTTGTTTAGGCGACCATTGCGCCTCCATCTGGTAATTCTTGTTGTTTATTTTTATTATGGGTGGGGATGGCATGGCCATCGATGTGCCAATGGCAGTAAGGCGAGACGCTTAATAGCTAATCGAGCAAAGGGATATCCATTTTTGGATCAAGAGAACAGGCCGCTTTACACTGTGCAGTGAACTCTCTTCTTCTATGGGTGGGTGGACCATTGTTTAGATGGACTACAAGGTTCCCATCGGCTCTATTGTTTACTGTTTGCATGAGGAATAGCTTCGCACGGCGAAGGGAAGGGCGGTGGAGGAAGCACGTCTGCTGTGTGTGTTGGGGATAACCCAGCTCTCCGGCCCTGGTTGTCATTGGTGACCACCAGGGTGACGAGGAGAAAAACCAAGGAAAAACAAAAACAAACATTTGTCCGTGTCTCAGTTACGTCGGGATCCTCGTCAAAATGACGAAGGAGGAGAAGACAACAGGGTAAAAAAAAAGAATAAAAAGCATTTTTATCTACTTGATGTTTCCCTCATTCGGATACGTGCATGTACCTGATGTTTGACATTGTCTCGGATATTCTCCAACGATAGGATCCCAGGGAGAGTAGAGGGAGGATTGTACTGTACAATGCAAGCAGGGAAGGGGCCTCAACTCGCTGTCTACATGGGGTGGGAAAGTCATCTACGTATCTACGCATGTTCCTTTGCGATTCTGGTGCTCAGCGCGGGTATGTGTGGGTTTTGGGTGACGCTGTGACCACCGTGGGGACCGATGTGATGTAGCGGAGGGAGGGGAGGGGTAGTAGCACTAAGATGGCTGGATGGCACATTCACATGGGTTTTGGCGATGCTCGACAGGCGAACACGTACCGACCGGTGTGGAGGGCTGGAGCGTGTCGTCCCCCCCTCCTCCCTTCTCAACACGAGAAAACGGAACCAAGGCGAAGAGGAGGGGTAGCGAGCGCGTAGGGACATATGCGGGTGAGTGATGCCAACGAGCCAGTTGGATGTGGATGGGGGGCTGGAGTGGCAGCGGGTTGAAGGTTGAGTTTGGGTTAGGCAGAATGGGCGGTACGAGATCTTGTGCATGAGCGTATGAGTGTGGTTGGGTTTGGTTGGGCGGGGGAGGGAGAGAAGGGGGGAGTGGGTGGTTGCGGGAGCCTGCAGGCTAGGGAGAGAAGAAGGGAGGGAGGGAAGTGGGAAGGGAGGAAAAACTCAAAAACAGAAAAAGGTGAGGCGTCATTGTTTTCCGTTGGTCGGCTTTGTTGATGGTTGGTCGGTTGCGGGCGGCACTTCTGGTGTGATGTGATGAGTGTGGTGTGGCTTGCTTCAGCAGGTTCCCGTGATGTCGTCATTGGCGCTGTTGGGCTGCCATGGCCAAGGTTGCAGGTGTCCGGTGGTGGGCGGGGAGGGATTCGCACTTGGCGCTCTGGGAATGGGTGTTGGCACTGCACGGGGGTTTTCTTGTTGACAGGCTGGTAGGCAGTTTTTTTTTTTACTCCGGTGACTGGGGATGAGGAGGGTGG